TTCTGGGTGATCCCAAATGCTATGGGATATAAGCTATCATCAGTGTCTAAGCTAGCCGCTGTTAGTATTATACTGTTGGCATTTGCCTTCAAAAAAGTCCCATCAACTCCTATAATTGGCCTACACCTTGCCTTCCATCCAATCTTAGTAGCACTAATAAACAAGACACCACGTCAGAATGTAATTACCACAATAGATTTGACAAAATTAAAAAATCACCACCATAAAATAAAAAAGTTACCTTTGAAGCATTAAAGCATATATAGAGTTTACTAAACATCCTCTTTCCATTGGCTAATGCATCTTTACTCAATTCAAGAGAGACAGTTGACCCAAGATTAGATGTTTTCAGCTCATGACAATAAGCTTGCAGGTTGTTGAACTTATCAATATAGTTTCCCTCCATCTACCTCATAATTATTTTCTTCGCTCGTTTGCATTTATAAATGCTTACATGAAGCTTCAACTCATCCTCCATGTCCTTCTTCATGTCAGCAATCTTGTACTGTGGCCTCTCTTGGATCTTCCTCTTTAAATAGTTTGCAATCCACTTCACTGAAGCCCTAGGGTTCTTGAAAACCCTACCGCATCTGTGTTCTAGGCAAAAGGTCTTCACTACTAGCCTCGGATTTGTCCCTTCTTTTGATGCATATAGCACAAATGGACACCCCTCATCGCACAAAGCCTTTACCCTAAGCAGCTCACTTTTAGCTAGCCTTAACTTCACTCCAAGCTTAATGGCATAGTTATTTATTACTAACAACTCAGCTTTGTTTGCATATATATATATATATATATATCCCCGCATGAAAAATGGCCTATCTTCAGACCCAGTTGCTTCTTCATGGGCTCTCACTTCTATGAAAGGCCCATTAGGATCACTTGCGCCTACTTCATTAAACAAGTCCTCATCCTCAAAATCTTCATCTTCATCATCTACGAGCAACTCATCATCTCTCAGGGAAAAATCTTCATCTTCACTATCATTCTCTTCACTCTTATCACCTTCACTACCACCATATTCACTCTCATCATCTTCATCTTCAACTTCGTTATCACCTTTACTCATATCTTCCAACCCATCATTTTCTCCATTATCATGACCTATTTGACTAACATCACACATACTGGGAGTCTGGGGTTACTACAAGGTTGCTCATCACACTTTCCCTTTAACAAATCCCCAGTTCCTTCGTCTACTTCCTTCTGCTTCTCATTTCTTAACCCCACCCTTTACTCACCACTTCAACCCATTCATTTTGTCCATTATCATGACAGACTTCAATCCTATCATATACATCTGTGTTATTAGATGCATTATGACCCTGCTTTCCCTCAACCACATCCCCATATTGCTCTTCTATTTCCTTCCGTCTCTCAATCAATTCAACTTTCAAAGTCTCTAAGAAGCATATTTTTTTTATTCCAATCCATCTCATCCCTATCATCGGCATCATCCCCATCGTCACCATGCTTACTTTCACCACCATCGTCTTCCTCAACACACTTCCCTTTCCCTTTATCTAGTTGGATTTCACCTTCCCTATTGCCACCCTTTGTACACTTTTCTCTTGTCAACCCAGATGTTGAGATAGAAGCCGCAATGGACTTATGCCCCTCACATAGATGCTCTTTTGTCTCTTTCCACTCTTTCTTCCTCTTATTAAACTCACATAGCAAACTACCCAGATAACACCAATATTCCACACCAGATTTGGGACCACCATTCTCACCATCCGATGCCATCACTAGCTTAAACTCAAGATTAATTACCAGAAAACAACTAATTAACAAACTATCTAATGAACAGAAAACAAAGGACTAATATGAAATTTCACCATCCAGATAAAAAAAGCTTCCAATCACACCTTTTTCATACCAACACTGAAATAGATTCCATTCTTACTTGTCTCCCAAAGAATCTCTATGCTCGTCTCGTCCTTTCCTTGCCCTAATGCCACTGAGACTTATAGCCCTCTTATTTCACTCACACTTCACACTTCGTCCACGGTGATTCCTTCTCCCTCCACAGCTAAAACTACTAGACTCGTTTCATCTTCCTCCTCAAATTTTTGCCGTTTTCCTTCTCCATTTTTCTCTTCAATTTACACATGTCCATCCTGCCTCCATATTTCCCATCCAACTAAATGCCACATTGTTCGCAAGGATGCTCCTTCATGCTACACGGTGTCACTTAACATAAAACGGTAAGTCTCCATCTAAATAGGTCCACATTGCTACCTTTTTGTAACTTTCGGGCCTACATTGCACTTAAAAAAACTTCCTGGCAGCCAGTGCTCCTTTATGGAAACTTCCGAGACAAAAATGACCTTTATCCCAATATAAAAAGGTTCCTTACAAATTCAATCCAGGTTAGGCTATTATATTACAGTTTAGCTTGATTTAGTTTTCTTTGAGAGCCCCTAAGACATGGTTTTCAACGATCCACTTCATTTTTTTTAAAAAAAGTTATCCACTTCATTCCTGGTTCAAAACCCTAATGTCATTTCTCCATACAAAAACAACTCTTTCCACCTATTTGTTATTTTGCTAGTCGCTCTTAGTTTAGTACTTTCTATGAGAACAAAAGTAGAGCAAAAATATAAGAAAAGATATATGTAAAGGAGAAGCTCACGAGAATTTTTGAAAAATGTAAATGACGAGGTCGATTTTAGGAATGGTTGCAGGCTAGGAAAGCATTGAACCAATGATTCTTCCAAAGCTAGTGCTAAATTCTCACATTGGGGGGGAAAAAAAGAAGTGGATCGCATGTGAACTTATTCTTTCAGCATATTTTGTCAATTAATAGTCAAATTTAACATGAATAACCCCTTGAGACAATATTACTACAATTTGAAAACTTTTGGATATCCAGCATTCTTGAGTAAAAACTTATAAGGCAAATTTGCACCTTAACCCAGAAAAGAAAATGACTTGGATGACACATGGACTGCCAACTCAGCATGTTTAGTCAACTAATGATCAAACTTAACCTAAATAACAGCAAGGTGACATTGCTATGATTTAAAAACTTCTAGAGTGATATTGAGCCAAAAAAAACTTCTAGATAGCCAGTGTTCATAAACTAAAACTTTTGGGACAAATATTCATCTTAACCCTTTATATTTAATTAAGTTTCAAAAGTCACTATCAATTGACGTGGTAAAGTTGGTGAATAATTTGTCAACTATTCTCAACAAATTCAGCTAGAGTAGTTATTTTCAGTTCGATTTCAACTTGAGTAGTTAGAGTAGTTATTGTCGTTTTGTTTTCATTTTCGTTCTTATGCTTTTTTTTCCACTGTTTTTTGGGCATGAAACTGCTTGATGCTAACAGATGCAGAACAAAAAAAGGTAGGAAATAATTTCAGCATTTAATTTGTAAATTTCACAAAATCTAACTTTGTGATTGTCGAACATTCAATAATATTATCACTGGAGCAAGGTAGATCAACTTGTTTTGAAGAAAAAGGTCACAATACCTAATACTATAGTAATTATTCCAATTTTGTATTAAAAACAAATTAAGTCTAAACAAACTAGATTTGCTCAGCTTCGCCTCTTTAAAACATGTTTGCCAGTTTAGCTCTTCATTAAACTCATTCTCTAATCACCACATTATGCTTGTTTTGGAGTTAATTATCCCATTTATGAACTGAGTTTCTCTTATTCTTGTTTCCTCATACAAAAAGAAAAATAATATTCCTCTACTCTTATTTATAGGACAGATAGAGAAGAAAGTTTTTGATCCTATTTATATGATGGAGAGAGAAATTTTTATATGATCATATAATTTTACCCTTCATTTATTATCATATTGATTTTGTTTTCATGAGGCATAATATATGGATAAAATTAAAAAGTTGTTAAATTTTAAATAAGAGTTAATAAAATTTAAAGCTTTTCTTATTCTGTGTAAAATATGTTAGAAGTGACTTTATAAATAAGACCAAAGAAATATATGTTTCAATTAAAATAAACTAACTTAAAACAATAATTTTTCTTTTAAAATTATGTTGAATAGGTCTTAAGAAAGGATAATATTTAAGTAAAGTTGTTCATATTTATTATATCAAGTTTTTTGTTCATATGTTATTGTGTGTCCTATTTTTTAAAATAAAAGATGGAAAAATTGCAATAAGATTTCATATAAAAGAATTAAATAAAAAAAACCCTTTAAAATCATCAAATTATAATCTGAAGTCCCAAGAAGAGATTTTATTTGTTTAATTAGCAAAACTGCATTTACCTTTTTTTTTTAAAGTATGCATTGACAACTAAAAGTACAGTTATTAACAACTTAAAGTGTAACAATTAACAACTATCATGACAGATATTGACAACTCATACTACTATGATAGTTGTTAATCTTTACACTTTAAGTTGTTAATGACTCTACTTTTAGTTATCAATACATACTTTAAAAAAAGGATAATTTGATAATTAAACAACTAAAATCTCCTGTAATGAGGTCCCCTTAGGACTTTAAAATAATATGATGATTTCAAGAGATCTTTTTTATTTAATTCTCTTAGATGAAACCTTATTGTAATTTTCTCATAAAACATACCATTTTATAATAAGAATTTATTTAGAATGATTTATAAACAACTTTTCAATCGTTATTTATAAAATATGAAGTAAGTATGTAAGAAGAATTTTGTCTTAATTTATAAAAATGTGTTTATAAGTACTTATAAACATATGTTCACGGGTGCTTAGAAATGCTTATTAATCAAATTACGAGCCTATTTAAAATAGTTTATAAGTAATTTTTTAATCAATACAAGATAAATATGTGAAAAAAGTTTTATTTTAATTTATATAAACATAAAAGATGCCTACAGGTGATTTAAGTGATAGCAAAGAACCCGTCAACCCCTACACCGATTACTCGTTACTGATTCTTTTCTTCCCCATTTGACCCAGGTTTTCCCTCCTTTTTATATCATCACTCCCACTCCGACATACTCCTCAGTACTCCTCCGCAGTCAGGCGAAAATGTCCCTCCCCTTCTTCGTCTGCTCCTTCATCTCCACCTTCATCTTCTCCGCCTCCGCCTCCTTCTCTACACCTTACCCTTACGGTAACCTCTGATCTCTTCGCATTTTCCTACTATTTATTATTCAATCACTTTGCCCATTTAATGCCTTGTCTTCCCACTAATTCTTGCTTTCTTTTTCCTTATCCTCCTTCTCACAGGTTTATCTTACCATATTGACTGTGGTAGCCCCATCAACACCAGTGATCCCTTCAATACTACCTGGCTTTCCGACCGCTTCTTCACCGCCGGCGCCTCCTCCGTCGTATCCGAGCCACTCCGATTCCACTACCCCTACGAGAAGACCCTTCGCTTCTTTCCTGTCTCTCACGGCAAGAAGAACTGCTACATTATCCCTTCTCTTCCCTCCGGTCGTTACTTCCTCCGCACGTTTGTCGTTTACGACAACTACGATGGCAAGTCTCACACTCCTTCTTTCGATGTCGCCGTCGAGGGCACTGTCATTTTCAGCTGGCGTTCTCCGTGGCCGGAATCTGTAGCTCTAGGGGGTGCGTATTCTGATCTGTTTGCTTACGTCACAGACGGTGAGGCTGATGTCTGCTTTTACGGCTTGGCTACTGATCCCCCGGTTATCTCTTCTCTCGAGCTTGTACATGTCGATCCCCTGTCTTACGATTCGACGAGTATAGGAGATAAGCACGTTCTCGTCAATTATGGAAGGTTATCTTGCGGGACTGATCAATGGGGTCCCGGATTCAGCAACGACACCGATCTCTTTGGTCGGTCATGGCAGTCCGATTCCGAATTCCGATCAAATTTCGGTCTATCGAGTCACCGCAACCGCGACGATGTTAGAGCTATATCCACGAGGAACACCATAAGCGGAACTGAACAGAAGCCCAATTACTTCCCGATGAAGTTGTACCAATCGGCGGTGACTGTTGGTGGAGAAGATGGCGTCTTGGAGTACAATTTGAATGTGGACGCGAAGTTAGATTACTTAGTGTGGTTGCATTTTGCGGAAATTGATTCCAGTGTGAAGAAGGCAGGAGATAGGGTGTTCGATGTGTTGATCAATGGCAAGAATGCAACTAGGATTGACATATACAAGCAGGTGGGAAGCTTTGCTGCGTTTACTTGGCACTATATTGTGAGGAATTTGAGCAGTAGTGTGTTGACTGTGAAGCTTGTGGCTGCAGTAGGTGCCCCTCTAATTAGTGGGCTTGAAAATTATGCTTTGGTTGCCAGTGACCCTTCTACCGTGCCGCAACAAGGTATATTGCTGAACTCTTGATCCATTTACCATCTACAGGTTCGGTTACATTTACTCAAAGGAAATATGCATTTTCTTCTTTGGCATCTGAAATTATCTTGCAACTTGTTAAGACGTTAATGGAAAGATAATTAGGGAGGAATCGGAAAGTTAGCAATACTATGCTAATGTTAATGGTGAATGTGATTGCATTTTTGACATAATTTTTGGTCATATGGAATATGCCGTGGAAGGAAGTATTTTAATATTGTGCTGGTTGAAGATAAACCCTAAGAATCGTGGGTTGTTAACTGGGGACCCTTTTGCAGTGATTGCCATGAAAGCATTGAAAGATTCACTTCGTGTTCCTGATAGAATGGGTTGGAATGGTGATCCTTGTGCTCCTACTAATTGGGATGCTTGGGAAGGAGTCACCTGCCGCATGAATAAGAATCATGCTGCCCTCGTGATAAGTGAAATGTGAGCATGTCTTACTCTTCTTTGAAGTTATAATTTACATTTTTAAACTGAATTTTGGAAGAGGATTGATGCTTCATGCACAATGACTTTACTGTGAAGTTTTACTAAATGATGCGGCATGCTTAATGTGAAAGATTTTCCACTCACCGAATATACATGTGAAAGATTAATTTTACTAAATGCAGTCATTATAACTGGTTGTATGACATTGAGCACGTAAGATTGTTGAAAAAATACTTTTTTATTTTCCTAAAAAAAATGGTGAATCATATTGCAATTTGCAGGTAGTATAAAGACTGAAGATTAGTTAACACTGGCCAACATTATTACGCATTAAAATCATTTTTTTGATTTATTTATTTATTTATTTTGGGGGAGGGGGCTCAAGAAGCTAGACAGAGGAATATGGGTGAAACTGCTGTTGCACATATGACATATAAAAGTGACTTATCCCCATAAGATAAAAAAAAATGGAAGGAAAAACAGAAGTTTTAGGTTGCTTCTCCTTTAATTTATAATTCTTTCTCCATGGCTTTGATTTTATTTTTATTTTAATGTTAACTACAGAGATCTTGGCAGTCAAGGCTTGAAAGGGTACATTAGTGACCAGATTAGTCTTTTGTCAGACTTGGTAAGCCTGTAAGTATCAACTGCTAAAAAGCTTACAAAGGCTAATGCCTGATATTCACTAATCATTATACGGCTGATATATGTTGAGGCTACCATTACACAACTCTTCAGTAAGAAACATGTTAAGTCCATATTTGTTTTTTGGGTTAGAAGCTTTCTAGCACCTTTGATGTTTGTGTTATTTAAACAGCTGTCAGAACCTGCAGTTCTCCTTATACTCTCCTGTTTTTTTTTACAATTACCTGTTCCTTGAATTAGAACAACATCAGCGTTCATTTTCAGATTGACGGGTTTTGATTCTTTCAAGATTCAATTAACCTTGTCCTTTCATTCTGTGACTACATTATTGAATCATCAAACCCAACCTTTAGTGCTACTTAATCCCTAAATAGCACTGTAACATGCACGAGAAGCTAAAAGTGTTATAATTAGCACATCTTATCTATAAAGCATTTCTCTCTAAATCATGCTGGTCAAACTTTTGGATCCACGTTAAATTTTCTAGTAGATCATTGTTCATTATAGGCATGTTTTCAAGCACCATGTGGCCTTCTTTCCCAATTTTTTGTCATATTTACTTGGGAAAATTAGGGATAAATCCCTCGTTGAAAATTTAATTGGCAAATGGGACTTAGAATAATTGATTGCACAAGGGAAGATTAGTTGCACACAAAGGATGATAAGCTGCACAAAGGGAAGATAGTTTGCACAAAACATTATTTGGATATAAGGAATTAGTTTGCACATAGGGAGGATCACTTGCACATAAGAGAATTTCATTTACACAAAGGGAAATTGAGTTGCACATCGCACAAAGGAAGATCATTGCACACAAAGGAAGATACATTGCACACAAGGGAAGATAAGTTGCACAAAAAGAAGCTAAGTTGCACAAAATCCTCATGTCCTATTTGCCAATTAAATTTTCAATGGGTGATTTATCCCCAATTTTCCCTATTTATTTTGACTTCAACTATCTAGTAACCTCTCTTGAAAATTACAGGAACTTAAGTTCTAATTCTCTCCGTGGTTCCATACCTTCTGGCTTGGGGCAAAAATCCCTGATACGCGTGTAAGTATTACTGATAGTAAACTTGCTACCCAGTTTTTCTACCAGGCTGTTATTTTTCAGATTTTATGCAAATTCACAAAACCTAGTGGGGCTCTTTCTTCAATGAAAATCAATTTTCGATATCTGGATGCACTGAAGTTATATTTTTAACATTTTGCTTAGAATTGGAACTTGTGTAAGAAGAGCCATTACTCTGAAAATTGTGATGCTCCCTCTGGTCCTATTTATAATATCCCAAAATTTGAATTGGATTGGTCTTTTTTATAAGATCCTCATTGAGGGTGTCTAAACATTAAATGTGTTTTTACTAATTTTGCCTCTAATTAATTTTTATCTTTCCTCATCTTTGTCTCATACTACATTCTCTTTCATTCATCATCTGATTACTAGTATTTTTCTATGTTATTTGCTCCCTTATTAAATAAGGACATACTCCGGAAAAAAGGTTGAATTTTTACATATTTATTGCTTTTAACTAATTTTAACTGTTTTCTTGAACTGTGTAGTTTAGTTAAAAGGATTGTATAAAGAGGACTGAAAGGAATATTTTCAGATAGCACATATCTTTCTTGCACAATTGTTTGTTAGCTGCAGCTTAGACCACATAAATTGCAGAGTTACCTGCTCATTTTAATAAAATTATATTATGCCAGTCTGATCTGTACAAAGGAGAAATAGAAAACGACCTCGTTATCATTTAATGCTTGACATTTTTTTCTTTATAATGTATGCTCCAGGGATTTGTCCAACAATGAATTAACAGGTTCCATACCAGACGGTTTAGCCTCTTCAAGTTTGCAGCTTGTGTAAGTATCCCTTGCGTTATCTATTATGTCTCTTTCTGTTAGATAAAGCCATAAACATGTCATGATTGGCATCTAGCTCTGAAATTTGTTTTAAGTACACTTTTACTAAACATTTTAATTAGTTTATTAAAATCTCATTATTGTCATGTGTAAAACATTTGCATTGTGCACAACATAGGGGCCGAAGGGTGAAACTTACTTTAGTCCTTGTGCTGTCCTTGTTTATAATATCAAAAATATCAAAACTTCACAATGAAACTAACTGCAAGAGACAAGACGACTAACAAGATAAATACAGCCTAGTCACCTCGATTGCAAAGTAAATACTTTGATGATGTCAGAGCTTTGGTTTCAAAATTGTTGTGAAAAGGCAATTTTAAGTTGGTAAATCCTTGGTCGTCATCTATGAAAATCAGAATGTCATCATGAACAATTGATATATTTCTCCACACAGGACTATAATTATAAAATACAGTGATTCATTCCACACCTTTGAAGCTCCAAGGCTGTAACTTGTTCACTAGACCTGCTAAACCATGCCCAAGACAGTTGCTTTAAACCATATAATGACTTAGTTTTACTGCCTACTTGCCCTCTTTGGAGCAACTATAAACCTCTTCTTGAATATCTCCATGGATTGAAGCATTCTTAATATCTTACTTTTGTAAAGGCCACTTGAAGGTTGAAACCATAGAGATGAAGATATGCACTGAGGTTATCTTGTCAACAAATAAAAAGGTTTCAGAATATTCCAGATCATAGACCTGACTGTAACCATTTTTGTTGTGAAGTCCAAATCACCGATTCAAAGCCTCTACCAATTGTCTTCTTTGTCTTTAAATCCTGAATAATCAGAGTCGGGAACAAAAATGATGGAACAAGTGAGATTTTTGTTAGTTTGCTAGTTGACGTTTGATTATAGAATTGGTGAATATGCCATGCCATGGAGCTTGAAATATTCCTCCTTAGAAATTCCTTCCTCTTTTTTTTTTGGTAATCTGGATCTAAAGATGCTGAGGGCAAGGCAGAATACTTGCATTTGTTGCTTGAAGTGGTCTGTACTTTTCAATTGCCAATAAATGTGTCCTTTTTTATTGCATGATTTTATATTATCATGGCTAGCATGCTTTGCTCTTCCACCTCTTTAAGAGTTAGAAGTTGAGAATTGAGTAGCGTGGGCAGAATTCTCAATAATAGGAGGGCAAACACTTCTTTGGTGGTAGCTTACTAAACATGGGAATATAGTTTTGTAAACCTTGCCAAAATAAGCAGGATTTTTCTGTCATTATTTTCTGAGGATCTTCACTTTTTAACTCCATTATCAAGGTTAGGAAAGCCTGTCGGCCTTTTCTGAGTATTTCGGTGTCACACTGACATCAGACTTCCCCTTTCCCATGTTGGCATGTTCTTGTAGATGCTCTAGAATGGAGGGGCACATGAGGAAGAATCTTAAAACAGAGATTAGGAAATTGAATAAACCCTGTAGTACATGGAGGTTTGGACACTTCTGGTAGTTCAAATGACACTTATTAAGCTTTGGGTTGGTTTGCATTTAAAAAAAAAAAAAAGGGAAAGTTTGGGTGGGGAATGTGCATAAGACTCAAATTACTGATGAATTAACTGCAACCTCTCCTCCTTATGTTTAATAGTTTGGTTTCCAGATCAATAGCTGGATTAATGTCAAAGAGAGCAAAGGTTAAGATCAAGATTTTCTGATTTATGGGATGAAACCTAGGTAAAAACAGTCCCAATGAAGCTGTTTCATTAGCAGTTTTCTTGGATTTAAAGTGTTCATAATTAAAAAATGGAACGTTTTTATATATCTCCTCCCTCTGATATGGATAGGTTGAGTATGTATATTAACCTGCAGTACGGTATTGCTTTGGTGTTTTTTTCTAATCCATTTTGTCTTACCAGGCTATTGAATGATAACTTTTTGGAAGGACAAGTGCCAGAAGGACTTTACTCGGTTGGTGTGCATGGGGGAGCTTTTGAGTATGTCACTTTAACCTGAGTCTCAAGATAAAACTATGTTCAGAATGGAATGTTGGTTAATTTATCTTTCTTGGATAATATCCCTATCTGGCTGACCATTCTGTATGTCTTTCTGTCTAAATTAAATGCAAGTAGAGCTACGAAAGTCCTATATATAAGCTCACTGTGTCGTACTGATCAGCTTTGGATGCTGAAGGAGAGACTTAATGCCTTTTCTTACGTAAAAGTCGTTCAGCCTCCTCTCAGTGTTCATTGTGTACCCACCTCCTTTTCATATATAAAGCTTATTTAATTTGTATATTTCTGAAAAGCTGAACTAGAATTTGGATGATTTATGAAAACTGTCCCCCTTTGAGTAACGCTCAATATGCTCAATTGAATGACCACATCGACCACACATTTTGACCCCTGCCATTGTTTTTGTTTTACTGGGCATATGCAGTTGCTTCATGAAGTGGCATAAGTCAGGTGCCGAATGCATTTTTGCAGTAGGTGCAAAATAGTGTTTCACCTCAGGTCAAAAAAAAAAAAAAAAAGTGTTTCACCATAGAATTATTTTTTTGGGAGGTACAACTTAGGATAGTTTCTTCTGTGAAAATTGTAGTCAATTTGTAATGTTAATAATTCAGATGATAAGTAATTTATTTTTTATTCAGTCTCTCTGGCAACGAAGCTTTGTGTGGCGTGCCATCTCTGCCAGCTTGTCCTTTATTGTGGAAACACGGAAGACTATCTACTTGGGGGAAAATTGCAATAGGCTTGTCATGCCTTTTTGTTTTCTGTGCGTTACTGGTGCTGGTATGTATTTATGTCAGGAGGAGAAGGAACGAATATGATTTTGGTCTTCCGCATGAATTAATGGGTAAGTATGACCTCATTTGCATTCTGGTTTTGGCAAAGCCATTTTCATTCTTTCAAATATATTTGGTATTATCATTACCTGTGTAATAGTTTTTCCTTGTGTTACTAGTTTATTGAACTAATATACTCTCTTGCAGCATTAGCCGGCAAGAGAAGCCGATATCAGAGACATAAATCCTTGATGCATCTTGAGATGGAGAGCCAACATGCCAGAGGTTTACATTCACCATATACTTTACAATAACCGAGTTTCACTGCAAATTTAAGACTGATTTTTCACAACATTCACCGACACAGCTTTTAGCAAAAGGAAATTGAAAGTTGTAAATACACCTATCAGTGCTAAGCCAAGTTGATGTGACATCACTGCCTTACTTTAGAGGGGAAAGAACGGCTTGCTGAGGTTTGGCTTTTCTCCAACAGCTTTCTATCTCTTCAGGATTGTGGAAGCCACTTATTGCTTTGTTGTGTCACACATTGTTTGCCGCACCCACCACAGACACAACCCGTTATATCAGTAACCATATACAAAGTTACAACCTTTGATGAATAGGTGATAGGAACACTTCAATTAAATGCAAGTGATTTGAACCATGAGTTAGTTGTGTACTTTAGGTTGACATGTGTCCATTCTGCTTAACTCAACACTGTACCCTGATATTTACGTTGCCTAATAACGGTGGGCGGCCTGTTCTATGCTATGAACTTTTTGTAGTTCTCCACTTTTATATTATCTGACTCCATTGGATGCGCCTGATTCTCCATTAAAAGTTGCTTTGCATGTCACTATTATATTGAAGATTTAATAGGAATTATTTGGGAATCGTTTTTTATGTTTCTATTTTGAAGCTTTATACTACCTCCAGTCCTAATTATAAGATCTTGTTTGTAAACTACAAGCAAGATCTTATAATTAAAACTGGAGGTAGTATTTATTTTAAGTAAAGCATGTTGGAGAAAGCTTAAGATTTCATGATGGTTTTATTTTGTTCATTCACTTGAAAATATGTAGATATCATGGAATTCTCTGAATTGGGTTGTCAAATGGAATTGAGATCGAATTGATGCTAATTTACGTCTTTTACAGCCATAGTTACATCTTCCTGAAACAGTGACATGAAATCTAATTTTTCTTTTGTTTATTTTTTTTTTAATTTATAATTAGTACAATTTATTATAAGATTTAACATGAAATCTATTTTTTTTTCTTCTGTTTATTTTGTTGGCCTTAAACAATGGGCCAATGAACACTTAATATTTTTTTTATTCATAATATTAGGCTAAATTATATAAAGCTGACTTGTATATAAATAGCTTTCTTGACCTTTATAACTTCACATAAAAAAAAAAAACTAGTTTCAATCTTGTACGGACAATCCCTGAACTTTTATGTGTAAATAACCTTCCTAAATTACAATCTATTTGTTAAAAAAGGCCTTTATTAGATTATATTATTTTAGTGAAGTAAGTGGTAAATTAATAACGAGAAAGTTATTTACTGAACATAATGTTTTAAGAATTGTAGAGATTATATGCAGATAATTCGAATTTTAGGAAGAGTATGTATTAATATTTAGTTAAACTCTGTCTACGGTCAAAGAAGAAGATTCCAGAGAGAGAGGACATGGACCATAGTGATGATGCTGCTTCCTGTTGGAATTTAGAAGGCAACAAAATTAGAGTCCAAAAAATCCTATTACCGTTGGTCGTCATTTCTGACTTGCCGTTGCATTTGCAACAATCTTTTTTCCCTAGTTTTGTTGTAGCAGTTACTCTTGCTGGAATCTTCCACTTTTCAGACTATTGTCAAAATTACACTTTCCTTCTTCTGATTATCTATTAAATATATTATATTTATAAAAAGGAGAAATTTAACATAATCCACAATTTGATTAGATTTGATAAATTTTTAATCCCTAATTCAGTCAATTATATATATATGGTTGTAATAAGAAGTGCAATCTCCATGTTAACTGTTGATCTAAAAAATGGTAATGATAATAATTATTATTACCTATAATTAATAAGTTATATATTTAGTTAAAACTTAATATATTTAGTCAATAACGATGCTCTGGTTCGCTGTCTCGAGGTTGTCTTTCCAAGCGCATTCGTATCATAATTTTATTGTTTTCATAATACTAGAATTGAAGGATATTATGGCTGGCCAAAAAAAAAAGAAGAATATTACTATGTTTTAATTAACTTTCCAAGTTTCAAAATATTAAGCTTACTGTTTGTATGATAGTAATTTTCAATGGATGTATTACATGGATACTAGGAAAAATTATAAATAAATACTTTATATTCAATTTGAATTACAATAAAGTCCCTTGGAAATGAAAATAATTTGCAAGGATCAAAGAATCATCAGAACACACACACACAAATAAAAAAACCTTATGAACAAGAAGTCAAGAACTGTTCTTGAAAATACCGAAATAACTAGGTCGTAATAATGTTAAAACACTCCTAAAAATCATGGTAACATTAATATAACTAGGAAGCAACAAATTATGAATTACGTGTGTTGCGTTGGAATGTCAAGATGAGAGAATTTGAGCTGACATGAGAAGTGTCTTGTGATACCGAGCCTGCTTATATACTTCAAACACTTTGAATTAATTTGTTGTTCATTCAATACTATGAAATATTTTCCAGGTCTGCCTAACAACTTAATATTTTAAGGGTAAAATCGCACCATAAAATCTTTTAGATGCACCTAAAAGAATATTTTAGAATATTGGATGAATAATAAAATACTTGAGGATATTAGACACACACCTGAAAAAATACTTCAAGATACTGGATAGATCACAAAATACTCTGAGATGTGGATGCACCTAAAAAAAATACTTCAATCTATTAGTTGTGCTTAAAATCTTTAGTCTAGCCAACTAAGAATGATGTGTGAAATGTTCTAGTTGCATTTAGAAATTACAGGGAATTCTTGCATAGATCAACCTAACAACTATTAATGTCAGAATTTTTTACGTATAAACAATTGCTAACTTTAATATAAGCTGGCCAAAAAAACACAACTTCAATATAAATGCTCCTCCGGTCTTTAATATATGATCTAATTATTGAGTTGGTTTCGATACTAAATGTAAGACCTATTTATCATATTTATTAATTTTTTTAAATTATCCCTATGAATACTCCCTCAACCATAATTAAGTAGGAGAGAAAAGGATAAGAAAGAAGATCATGATATTTTAGAAAAAACATGTCATATTTCTTATAATTAACTAACTTATTTAACTTTTTTAAGCTAATCAGATTAGTTAAATATGTCTTATATTAAGAACTGAAAGAGTATAGTGATTTGCCTCTAATCATATAGATATTGTGCATAATTAAATCACAGGATTAATCGTCTAAGAAACCAGGAGAAATAATCAAGTGGTGTGCCTAACGTAGTGATAAAATAACTAATCACAACTATACGAGTTTGCGTGGCTAATATTTAAACTCTAATAAATTGAACAAGTATTATGAAATAAGTAAGAATGACTAATCCTACACTATTTTTTTAAGTTTCTCATGTGCTCTCAAGTTCATAAAGTTTCAAACTTTCTCTTCATTGGTTTTGGTTTGAATAATCTTGTGTTGTAATGACCTGTACGCTTGAAACGCAATCTAAAGGAAACACTCCAACTTGCATAATTCAAATTATATATATTACTCCCTCCTATCTTTTTTTATAAGGTACAATTTTTTTCAAAGATATTTAAAATTTTCAAACAATTTTTTTATTTTTATCCCTAATTAATTATGTGTCTCTGTACTAATTATAACAAATTTTTCACTAGTTCTATTTTGCACATCCTCTAAAATAAATAAGGGCATATTTGAAAAAGGGGATATATTTATTTACTTTAACTAATTTTAACCGATTTTTTAATTTACAGACTTATAAAAACAACCATAGGGAGCATATAAATATATATATGTAACAATATATACGTGAATTATTGTTAGATAGAGCTTACATATAGAGAAATATTGAGTGATATAATTAAAGACGTAAATAATACAACCATACTTTACTTCATACTTTCCAAGTCATGTGAAAGGAGAAATATAATTAAACAAAGTGTTGACTTTGACCAGGCCATGCAAATTAATAAAGCACAGCCACAGATCACAGAGTTGACGGTGTAGGTTAAAAGCAAGTGCGGCAAAAATGACTCTCTCATATATGTCCAACGAAAGTATGACTTGTTTGACTTGTCATTCCATTTCTTTTTGTTTCCCCTCTCTCTATCGACACACACATATGAAACCATTATTTTCTCTTTCACCCATCTCATGCTCTAATAGTTTGACTGAAAATTTGTTCAAACTCAGATATGATTAATTAATTTGATGTTTAATTGTCTTCTTAGCATGTTGAGTAAAAAAAATTTTAATTGTTGATTCCATTTCCACAACAACCCAAACACGACTGTGTAAATCTAATACTAATTTAATTAATTATTACCCTTTTGGTTAATGTTTATCAAGGTGATATAATCTTCAAATTCCTAATTCAGGTGCCTGCATATAAAGATTTGCCGGATTAATTAAGCTCATGATAACGCTGGAAGATTTACTATATTTATTTTGATGTTAGGTGGAAATATTATTTTACTTAGGCATTATTCAACGGTTTAACATGATTTTCATTAATTACTTCGTATGAAAAAAATATAATCACAAAACTATATATTTAATCCTTTACTTTATTTTATGTTTCACTTAGGCCATTAATTTTAGTAATTTTTTTTTCCCAGTCATTTAACCTTAACATAGTAGACAAAAAAAATACGAATATTAAATTTTAAAATGTTAACCAAACGTTTTTTTTAACACTGATGACGTATTAAGTTTAAATTTCAAAATAATAATATGATTGTTAAAAAACTGTATCATTTAAGAGTTACTGTGTCACAACTAAAGAATTAAAAAGATATAAAATTAAGAAATCAAAATAGCATCTTACATAAAATAATAGGACCAAAGGTGCAAGCAAAATAATTTTAGGAATGCGTGTGGATTTCAATCTGTTTGGTCAGTTTATAAGAATTCTCTTGTGATTTGAAACTTTTTTCTGATATAATTTAACGAAGTTAGGCTTGGTGCATATGTATCCGAAGCAAGAACCATGACGGTTTTATTTTCTATAGCAAGTTGGTTAAACATTATTGTAAATACTCTATAAACCTAATTACATGCATAACACAATTATTTTTCTTATTTGGGATGTGAAAGACAAGTTATTCATGAAATAATTTCATAATAATTATTTTTTTACAGGCGCAGGTATATTCTTGTTGGAGCTAATCCTAATTTTATAATAATTATTAATTGCATTGTTTAAGTACTAATTATATATATACTAGAAATGCATCAATTACAATCATCCCCTACGTTAGGCCATAGAAATATGATATAAAGTGGATATTCAAGTTATGGAAGAGGAAATTAGAGTTTAAAAACATTTTCCAAACTTTATAATTTACATTTTTTTAATAAAAAAGTTTAATTAATCAACAAACCAAATGAAGAACTGACTTGAAGCATTTAAAAGGTAAACAGATTGTATTCAAGTGAAACTTTGATTAAAAAACCTAAAATTTGACCAGAGCAGGAATTTTTATGCTTCAAAGACCAAATTATTGACTTTACATTAAATAATATGTATAAAACAAGCAAAAAAATTTAAAAAA